ATCATATATATATATATATATTATAGTAAAAAAATGAAGAACAGTAAGATATGTAATCCAGTGTTCTTATTGATATTTTTATTTTTACAAAACAGTGGTCAATGTAAATTTACAGAGCATAAATATTGTAAATTAACTGATTTACAAATATGGTTTCATCACTACACAGGAATTGAATTTCAAGTTTTTGTTTTTTGTTTTTGAAACATTGTAATTCCTGTGTAGCGATGAAACCATATTTTTAAATCAGTTAATTTATATATATATATATATAAAATGGCGACAATTTACCCGTCGCACCCTCTGTGTGTGTGTGTGTGTGTGTGTGTGTGTGTGTATATATATATATATGTATGTATGTATATATATATATACATATGTGTGTGTGTATATATACATATACATACAGGATTGTCGCCATTTTATATTTTTAATTTCACGCATGTGAATTTTTTGTTTTTAATTTTATGAACTGCACAGTATAGTAGGGTCAGCTGGGCACTGTCTGTGAGAAAAAGAGCACCATGATGTAATTCGCTCCATCAGAAATTTGGAAATGGCATGATGTACTGTGAACATTTGTTTGTGTGTCAATCTAAGGACAGTGCAGAGGATTTGGATGAGTCTAATGGTGATTATAAAGGAAAACTCACTGATAAGAAAAGAACTAACATATTTGTTGGTGAGATTCAGGCCATGATTGACAACGATCCTTCCAAGTCAATCAGTTCCATAGACAGGGACACAGGTGTGTCTAAGTTTCTTGTCAGGCAGGTAGTGCATGAAGACATTCAGTATTTCTCATACAAGATGGGAAAAGGTCAATTTTTATCCCAAGCCATGAAGGACAAGAGGAAAGGACATGCTATGAAGCTTTTGAACAAACTCAAGCATCCCCCTCCAACTGAACATGCTTTAAAATTTCTGCCAGGATAAGATGGCAAACATACAGAACAACCATTGGCTTGCTGTGTCCCCAATGTACCAAAAGACATAAAAACCAAATATCCAGTCAACATCATAGTGCTTGGAGTAACTAATAGTGATGGTGACATTATGCTTCCATTCATTTTTCCACAAAGTCTTGAGGAGATAGTGCTGCCCTGGGTCAAGAGGGTGGCTGCTGAAAAACACTATGTCTGGTAACAGGACTTTACACCATGCCACACAAGCAGGAGAATCTAGTCATGGCTGGCAATTTCTACAACGACATCACCCCTTACATCTGGCCACCTAACTCCCCAGACTGCAACCCCCTTGATTATTATGTGTGGGGTGCAGTTGAGTGAGAGACCAACAAAATTCCTTATAACACCAAAGATAAACTAAAGACAAGGATTATGGCAGCATTTACCATCTTAAACAAGTAGACCTTCCAGAAGAGTTGCAGGAAATCCCTAAGTTGTCTGGAAGCTATGGTTGAAGCCAATAGTGATTTTTTTAATAAATTTATTCTTTAGTATTTCAAGATAATTTTGTGCAATTTTGGTAAATATATGTTAAAATGAGATGTCAGCATTATTTTCATTTTTTTGTAATTTAGACAACAATTTATCCATCGCACCTTGTATATGTATATATATATATATATATATATATATATATATATATATATATATATATACTAGTTCAGTTCAATCAGTTAATGCTTGCATTAATTTTTTTGCCCCTAACAATCTTTTCCTTCTTACTCTTTCATGCACCACATGCAGATTGAGTGCCAAAACTTATTCAAACATATTTCAGATAACAAATTACAAAATTCAAATGTTAAATCATCAAATTCTACTTTTAAGTGCTAATATTAATGCAATGATTTTCATTCCATAATGCATATCTCTATGAGCAAACTTTACCCTGTTAAGTGAAGATCAACATTCTCCTAGAGTGGGCTATTTTAATATGAAGTGGGTGAACAAAATGTAACGTTTAAGTACATATATGAAGTTACTAAGTTGTAGAGTTTTTAGTAGGTTACAGATAGTTATTAAATGAAGGATCAACTATTTGAATTCATATTTGATATTTCTGTTTACGTTTTAAATGTGCTATGGAAATTCTGCTATCCCTTTGCTTTCTTATATGCTTTTTGTACTTGCACTGTCACTATGTGACTATATATTAGAGTGAATGAAAGTTTTATTTGTTTATTATATTACAGCTTATATAAACAATATATGTATATATGTTATAACTATGAAATTTTGTATAGCTTATAGAAGATCATTTACAAAGTATTACCTTTGTAAATAAATTCCTATACATTTCTAATCAATTTTATATATTTTATAGCAAATCATTATGTTGAAGTTTATTTTCAGCTTTGATTATAAAATATGGAAAATGTATTCTTATCATAAACCTTGGATACACATTTCTTTAATCAAATATCTATCTTTTGATATCTATTGCAAATTGCATGCAAAGTATTCTTTTATCAAATAATTTGCATTTTGTGAACTGATATGATTTTAAACACATTTTCATCATAAATTCAAAATGTATTTGTATTATGAAAGTTCCTTTCATTATATCAATTGATCCATAATGAATGAATGAACTTAAATGAAAGATTTAGAAAAAAGATGCATAAAACTTTGATCTGTTCTACACTTATTTCCTGACTACTGTTATAAATTTCTATCCATGTTTAGCTGACAGCAGAATCAAATATTTAATAGATGATGTGAATCATTCTGTAAGTTACATGTGGTGAACATGCAGCGAGTGCTTGAAGCAAGCATCAGAAAATGAAACTTAATCCAAACTTTGCAGAAGAAAGAAATAAAAAAGTAAAGGAAAAGAAAGGTTTCAGGTAATGATTTACAAAACACAAAGCCAAGTTGCATATTGAGTTGCCGACCTCATGCATAATGGATCTGATTCTACAGGTTTACTATTTGCCCAGTGTCGATTGCCAAAAATCCTTATTTATCACAAGATACATGCCATTTTTCATTCAGCATATGTTTTCTGACCTTACCTTCATCCATTTCCTACTCATGAAGATCCCAAGTGTAGAAGAGGAGAAAAAGAGAAGGGCTCCTTTCTTAGGGCTCATGTTTATTATATATACAAAGCAGAGGAAGATCAAGCCACAGTACAATAATCAGAGTATGAATTCCACTTATCATTTCCATATTCCGGAAGGGGAAAGAAAGAAAGTGAACATGACTCTTACTAGAACTAATTATGATAGCATTACAAATAATATTAATAACATTACAAAGAATAAAATCAAAAAAGGAAGACCATTAATAATACATCATAAGAAAAATATCAACAAAGGGAAAAGGTAGAAGATGAAAATTATTATTTAAGAAGGAGAAAAAGAAGAAAACGGATATTGCTATGAATAACAACAAAGTAATGACAGAAAAAGATTATTATTATATTAGATTTACCATGGTTAATAATAATGATAGAAGCAAAGAGGAAAGAAGGGAGTAAGAAAAATGAATGAAAAGAAGCAGAGAAATATTAATACTTATTATTGTCAATAATTATGGCATGAAATCCTTTATTGTTGTAGCCAAGAATAAATATATCAAAATATATCAAATAAAAGATAGACAAAACCAAGAAATACAATAAATGCCACCTCTTTGAAGCAAATATCAGACAATAAACTACATCCTAAGTGAAAACAGCAAACTGACTCAAAAGAAATAAAAAAACAACCATGATAGAATAGGAATAGTTATAGACTGGACACTCTGCAAATGACCATGTAAAAAATATTATCAACACAGACTAGAGCTTATTCTAGAAAAAAGAATTTTGGGACTTTGAAATTCTGACTGTATATCCTATCAAGGTGAGAAGACTGGAGCTAATAGTTGTAAATAAGAAAAGAAGAACCTGACAGATTGTGGATGTGGCTGTGCCATTGGACCACAAGGTGAAACCAGAATCTTTCCCGGGAGCTGAAAAAAGTGTAGAACATGAGGGTTATGTCTGTGCCTATAATAGTTAGAGCACTTAGAATAATGCCCAAAACACTAAAGGCATGATTAGATTAATTTCTGTCTGAATTTCTGGGATGAGGAGTATCATTATTTACACTATTTACATTTGGACTATTGTCCTCATCTTTTTTGTTGTTATTACAACATTTCAGCCTTTGTGACCTCTGGCCTTCATGAGGATAATCTACAGAGAATTCCAAACTGAACCCTTTATTTAATCTATGGATTAGACTGTTCTTGTTCCACTATCCATGTCTAGGGATATCTTGTCTAGCTCTTATATTTAGTACTGCTCAGTTATTACTCACCCTGTTTCCACTGAATTCAAGTACACACTGCCCGACCCAGGGACTGAATTCATAATTACTGTCACCAAATTCATGCATCAACACTTTAATCCACTAGGTTATTGTCCTAGTGGAATTGAAAATTCAAAGAAATATCAAGACCATCCATATGGCAGTATTATTGAAAACAGTTAGAAATCTAAAGCGAGTGAAGAATGACGGCACTCAGTTTCCAGTGTAAGTCACTATTTCCTACTTATATAAACATATAAGTGAAATAATAATAATAATAATAATAATAATAATATGAAGAAGAAAAAGAAGAAGTAGAAATAATAAAAATAATTTAAATAATAAAAGAAAAATTCATATTAAAACTAATACAACTAATAATAATAATATTATATTTGTTAGAAAAGAATATGATAGAGAATAAAGTAATATTCAGACTACTAGAAATACAAAATCAAACCAATGGGAAGAACAAGAGCAACAACAACAACAACACATTAATTCTAATACAAATTCTTATAAGAAGATTTGGAATTGCTAAGTATGCCTAATGGTTCAAGCAAAAAGCTTAGATTGTCAGATGCTAATGTTATTTTGTGATTCTTCCTGTACCTTGTCCTATTAGTAATCATCTCGACTTATCCTTGTCACTGTTATGCCATGTTACATCTGGGAATCAAGGGTTAGAGCAATGTTATGCACTATTTCTGTAGCCCCTGTGATAGCTCAATTCCTAAAGTGGATGAGCACTATTTTCAGAAACAAGTTGTTGTTTATCACCAATAATATGAATTATAATAAGAAAAAGAATAAAAGAAATAATAAAAGGGGACAAGAGAGTATCAGAAGAAAGAGTAAAATAAACTGTAGAGTTTTCATACAAATGATGAAAAGGAATGACATTAAAGAGTGAAAGAAAATGAAGAAAATCATAGGAAAGAGAAGAAACAGAAAAGAAAGAAGTAGTAAATGAACAATAATATTGAAAAAAGCAGCAAGTGAAGAGGAAGGGAAAAATGATAATAAAAGGAAGAAGAGGCTTAAAATTTTTATTGGTAGTTATAGCTATTTTAAAAATTAAAGAAAAAGAATGATTAAGAAGTACAGAAAATAAAAATAACAAAACTGAAATAAATAATAATAAACAAAATAAAGCAGAGAAGAAAAAAAAGAAAGGATAAGAAACATGTAGGAAAACAAGTACAGAAATAATAATAATAATCATTATTAGTATTATTATCAATGTTATTGTTATTAATTTAAAAAAGGAGAAAAGAAAAAAGAAAGAAAGAAAGAAAGAAAGAAAGAAAGGAAGAAAGAAAGAAAGGAAGAAAGTAAAAGATTGAAGTTGTCATTGGTATTGGTGCTTGGGTGGTGTCAGTAGTGTTGGAGGTCTGCTCTGATCATGGCTTGGCACATTTGTATTATGAAGTGGTTTATCACTTGAACGACCATCTCTTCAGCCTATAAATCACATACCAGTCAGAGGGGACATTGGCCATTTGTAGTGTTAGAACTGTTATTAGCTGGCCAATCATTTCTATGAAAATGACAGTAATCACAACTATGAATCAAATTCTTCAAGTATTTACACCAAACATTGCAGAGTTGGAGACGGGTGAACCAAGCCACAAGAACATTGTTTCCTTGCCATTTATTATCATTATTATTTTCATCATCATCATCACCATTGGCATGACTGCTGCTGATATTATTATTATTATTATTATTATTAGTGCCAAGTGTTTTCTTGTGGTTAACATTGTCATTTAAAATGCTAATAATAATATTATTTTTGTTTTTATTCTTACACTTGTTTTATTTTGAAGCATGTGATCATTGTTATAGTAGTTTTTATTATTTTTAATAGTTGTTGTTGATATTTAGATTTTGTTATCATGAATTTCTTAAAAAGAATATATTGATAATTAAGAGACTGATTACAGTTGTCAAGATAAATGAAAGATCTGCCCCTAATCTAAAGACAGTTCAAAGCTGAATTGATTGGTTAAAAAATATCTTTATTTGAAATTTCCGTCTGTAAAACTACAGTTGTTGTTTTACTAACAATTCCTTAAGATATTACATTTAGTACCTTTGAGTTTTGCTTTATTTTTAATGATTTTTACAGTTTTTTATTAATACCTTGACAATAACTAAAATTCTGCTATCCTATTGCTGTTCTTCTACCCTACAAAAGATCTGAAACTTATAGATATAAACTGTTGAACTTATATATACAAAACTGTTGAACTTATAGATACAAAACTTGGCAGACAGATTCAAAATTCATAATATATCTAGAAAAATAATTTGGGTTATTTTATCCCTATAGAAAATGTAACTATATTTTATTTATTGCTATTTTTCAGAATATATTTGCTGTTTTGCTCAGAATATTTCTCTGCTATTTTATTTTAATTTTTGTATTTATTGTTGTGTTTCTGATTTGTTATGACATTTTTTCCTTTTATTATTTCTTTTTTTTTTATACCTTTTTAAATAAATTCCTAAGTTAAAGAATCAAATAAAAATTGTGGTTCACTGATATTCTACTTGCAGATTATTTTTTGAAGAGCTAGATTTACAGCCATTTTGATTTTTTTTGTCATACATTTCCAGAATTAATCTGATAAATCTAACATTCACAAAATTTAGTGCAGTGCAAATTTAAATTGTCTTAATAGTTATCCATATTTTATCATGTTCTGTCATAGTAAATATTAATATTGGAGATGTCAAAATCAATCTGAGAAGTGTTCTAACACAAGATGGAAAATGTGACACTGAAATCCAAAGGTTCATTGGAATAGCAAAAGATGTCTTCCAAAAGCTAAGTAAAGTATTAAGAAACAGGAAAATATCATTAGGAACAAAGAAAAGAGATCTAAACTGTTATGCAATATCGTTCCTTTTCTATGGCAATGAATGCCATAAACATATTAATAATTAATTTTACATGAAGCTTTTACGCTTTACAATTTACACATGAAGAAAAAACTTGAGGCAACAAAAATATGATTCTACAGAAGGATGCTGAGACTACCATGGACTGAACATGTGAGTAACAAGGAAGTTTTAAGGAAAATGGAAAGAAAAAGAACACTTATACTTAGGATCAAAATGGAACAGTTGAATTTTCTTGAACACATAAGGAAGAAAGAGAATTTGGAGAATCTGACACTCACAAGATATATTGAAAGCAAGAGGGACAGAGGAAAGCAGTGAATAACCTACCTAATAAGCTTTTGTAAATGGATAACAGAACAGGAACTGGGAGAGACAATGATAGAACAAAACTTACTAAAAGCTACAAAGGATAAGAAATTGTGGAGAGTCATATCTCTCACATCCTGAAGGGAAAGAAGAAGAAGAAGAAGAAGAAGAAGAAGAAGAAGAAGAAGAAGAAGAAGAAGAAGAAGCATCATCATCATCATCATCATCATCATCTATAGTCTGAATAATTTTTATGAGTAGGGCATATTTGTAAACTTCATAACACATAATTACATTTTATTAGAGGGTGTCATTTTATAAGAAATATCTTCCAATTAATGTTCACAGTGCTATTTAAGAGTAGGGATCAATAAGTTTGTAGTCAAATACAGTTAATTTTGATCTGAAATTTTCATTATTAATAGAAAAGTGTTGAATTAAGTGCATTGACAAAGAAAGATATTATATTGAAAAATTAATATTTTTTGTATGCTTTTTACATAATTAGGGTAGGGGTTTATTGATGTACCTATGTATACTTACTTTAATGTATAAAATTAATTATTAATATGTTTATTGTTGATGATGTATTAAAATATTTTTCAGTAGATATTGTTTCTTATTGCTACTTGATATTTACTTAGCATATTATTATTATTGATGTCATTGTTGTCGTTGTTGTTGTTGTTCTTCTTCTTCTTATTATTATTATTATCATCATTTCAACTAAATATGTTGCATGTTCACCATGCAACCTCAAACAGATAGCATCTTTCACAGAATACTTGCAGAGCCAAGTAATGTAAACTTCAGAAGTGATGGGTTACTAGGCTTTATTCCAATTTTATTAATGTCAGTTGTTAGGTTTGGTGCCTCAATGATAATTGGGACACTAGTGACCTGAATGTTCTGCATTTTGGCAACCTCAATTCAAAGGTCAGTGTACTTTTTGAGCTTTCCAATTGCTTTGGCCTGGATATTTTGGTCATCAGGAACAGCCACAATGATGAGGAGGTATTTTCATTTCTTTTTTTAACAATGGTGTTGTCTGGTTAGTCTCAAGTTTGTGGTCTGTTTGGATGTTAAAATTTCATAAACTCTTGGTCATTTTGAATCACCTTCTCTGGTTTGTAGCAGTTCTACTTGATTTGTTTCATACTTCCTACATGGGAACCTATGCAGATGTGAGGCCACTTTATTATAGCAGCACTTCTATCTATGCAAGCATTCTACAAGTGCTAATTGCATGGGTGACATGGTGACATGCTGACATGGAGTAAAAAGGAACTTCTTTTAAATGCCATGTCCTTTCAGCAGTACTATCTAATATAAGTGTAAGACATATTTCAATATGAAGTTAAAAATGTATATTTTTGATAAGAAGAAGAAAAAGAAATCTGTGTTCAAAATATTTGTAAAATGTATTGTTTTATGAAACATTATTCTTTGTAAGCATTACAAATAGATTTTGAGTTGTTTTACATTATTCAAACATTAAATATGTCTTACACAATTTTCTTTTAACAAGACACATCTTAATATAACTTCTCTCTTTCAGACTGATTATTTATTGAACAAAGATGAAAGTAGCACTAAAAGAGATACTTTTAAGGAAATAAAATAATTTGGTTGATTGTGTTAATATGTGATATACTTGAAATAAACATAGAAATAAGTAATACTATTAATAAGAATTATTGCATTATTAATAACAATAATTATAATTGGCAATAATCTGTGTGTAATGAGTAATTTTAATAATAGTTATTCTCTTTACAACTTCATTCATCCCATCTTGACTTTTACATTAAGGAAATATTCAAATACAAGTTTTTGTTCTATTTTATTATTTTCTATGAAATTTAAAATGTTGCCATCAATGCTTTAATTAAGAAATTATAATTAAAATAATAAACAAATCAACAAGTAATATATTTGCATCTTCAATGAATCATGTGTAAAAGAGAAATTACTGTCAAGTTTTGAAATTTGGATACTCTAAATATTTGCTGGAAATATACATTTGTTTTCAATTAAATGTGTCAGAAATGGGTACACTAATAAACACACACATTAGATAAAGAAAGAGGGAGATAGACAAGAATAGATAAGATGATGTATACCTATATGTATGTATCTGTGTATATCTATTTGCATATCATTGTGTAAGTCACCTGGTAGTTATAAATAAAAATGGAATTATGAAAGCAAGAAACTTGCAAATTAATTTTATTCATGATTATAATTGATAAAAAATAAGGTTTCATCATTTTCTATTGTGTTCAACAGCATAGAACATCATGAAAAATAACAATATTTCTATTTTTATTCCATAAGTAGAAGAATGAAATTGGATTTAGAAAACTGGGTGAATATTCATCTCTTGGAGATCATTCCCTGCTAACAGTTCTTAAAGAAAAAAAAATAGAGCATATAGAAATTATTCTGAAGAATTCTAAAGTGAAGTAATTATAGGCACACATTCTTTTTATCTCTAACCTGGTGTATCTACCTATCTTTCTGATTGTCCTCAAACAAATCCTCCTGACCATTTCTCTCCAACCATTTCTATCATCCATAACTCTATCCAGTTCTTCCTTTCTGATTCTAATATTGTTTGACTCTATCAATGAAGTTTCTTGTTGGTCTACCACTTGATCTTTTCCTATAATTTAGATCCAAGAATAAAAACTTTCTGTTTATTGCTCCAGCGATAGTCACTAAACGACACTCACCTTTCCCAAATTGTTTCCATAATCCTTGGTAGGTTCCTATATAGTTCTTCACTGGGCATATGTTGTTTCCAGCCTACATTTAGTGCTGCTCTCAGTAGTCAAGTTTACATGACATCTTGTTTTTTTCATCAGTAATTATGTTAATATCCAACTGCTTGACTTATTCAAGAGGAATGTTTCTACTGTTGATCTTGTGGGGATTACCCACCTTATCTGCCATGTTGCATTCTCTTTAGATCTATAAAAGGAATAGACATAAACAATTTTATTCTTTGTTTGCTCTGAGATATAGTAGTAGTGATAGCAACAGGATTTTTCTACTCAAGGGAGATACTCCCCAGGCAAGCCACTTTTCATACATCCATGTGGACATATACATAGTGAGAAAATCTCATAGTGTTTTTTTTTCTTTTTTGAGTTATCTGTATACACATAAATATAATCTTCTCTTTCTTTTCAATTGTGAGCCATGTTGTTCTTTATATAAAAAGTATATTTATAAAAATCTCCCATTTGTTGACTTCATTTCCTTTGAAAGTTCTTACCCACATCATCATAACTCCTCCTGCTACAAACTGGTGACCAATAGCAACTTCATCCATTACAATCTTGTAGCCCCTCAATGATACAACCTAAAGAATTGCACTTTCAGGCATTTTTTCATTTTTGATTTGCAGATGGTATTAGTTTTTTATAGCAGTGTCCATGCCATTGTCATTCTAACATCTATGTTCTTTTTCTGATGAGTTCAAGCATGATCCTTGATATAAAAAAATCATCTACAATTTAGATTGTCACCTTTGAATGTTTTATGTACTTTTCTTATTTTTCATTGTAAGTCTCACTGCATAGTCAATTGCAATGATAAACAGAAATGGAGACAGTGTGACTGTCTGTAAGACTCCAACTGAAATTTCAAAATATTTTGTATCTCCACTTCATGATAATGCTACAGTATCTGTGTATCACATATTGACAGTTGAGTCTATTTTAGTCACTAATGTAATGATTTAACATTATCTTTACTTTATATTTATGTTTAATATAAAAACAAAAAGTAACTCTAACTTGTTATTTAAACCATTTTAAAGTATTTGTTTATTATTGTATTTATTTATAATTGTGAATTTATCTTGTTTCTTTATACTTTTCAATTCATGGCCTTTTGAAAATCATTTTAGCAGATTTGATTCCAGATCAAGACATAGATTTCTGAAAACTTATCTACATCAAAATGGGAGAATTATCACATTTTTTGATCTTCTCAACTATCTGGATTTTGCTGACATATTTTTCAGACTAAATATTTGAAATTGAAATACTAAAGTGGTTCTTGTTTCTGTTATTTCTTTTGAATGTTGAATTTTCAAAAAATTGTATATGATAGAAAATTATAAAAACCATAATCAATAATTTAATACTTATATATATATACATTTGACTTGTATTTTTTGATTAGCAATATGGCCCAACACTGAAAAAAGTATTCAGTCTTTGCACATATATAAATTTTTTGTCATTTATTAAAAACAACTCTATTCATATATGTATCATTAAAATGTTAATGAAAAGTACCTCACTTTTTCTGTGTATACAGAAAAAGTGATATATTATACAGAGATACATTTATTAATAATAGTTATCATTATTTTGATTAATTAACCACATTGTTGACCTATTTTACTGATTATAATATATGAATCAACTTTTGTGTAAAAAATATATAAGAAAGTAGGCACATCCTCACAGTAACAAACTAGTCAACTTTTCATATTTCTAACATTTTGCATTTTCAACATAGACCACTGACAAACATATACAAAGATATTAAATCTATCAAGATGAATATTATAGCAGCTTAAATGAATTAAAACAGTATTGGGTGTCATTATGATGTGTTTTGAGGACAATGATATTTATCCATTTTGGTGTCATAGCTTGCTTTCTTCAAATGTTCTATCAAATACTTCACTCAAAATAAAATAATTAGAGAATAAAACACAGATAGGCACTTTGAAACAATATTCACAGTTTTCGATAGAATTTCTTATGTTCTTTACTTTATCCAATGTGATATATATATATATATATATATATATATATATATATATATATATTTCATGAATTACTACCTACTTTTCAAAATCTCATATATATTTTAGTCAACTCCTCCTTTTACCTTCATTGTGTGTCACAATATTCATATAGTTAATTCCAAACTTTTCTCTTTTGGATGATGCCACATACTTTGTCTAGAGATTTTTTTATAGATTAACTCTTTCTCATGTTTAAAGACTTCTCTCCATCTTATTTTTAGTTTAAATTTCCAAATATATTCTTCTGTCAATTACAGTGAATGTTGAAGTTTGGGTGGACAGTTAGGGAAGTGGTTTAACAGAGTGACTAAATATTACATTCTAGTATCAGTGTTTTTGAATGTTGATGTACATTTCTCTGGACCAAAATTTATAACAAAAGTAATTCTATGCATATTTGTATTTGAAGTAATCAAAATAGTTTCATTTCACTGCCTGTGTTTGAAATGAGGTTCTA